CCGGCTCGCCTGCGCCCTCTGCGCGCCTCCCGCCGGCCCGGCCCGCCCCCCTGGGCCAGGAGCGCCCCCCGCCGCCCATCGGCGGCCGCCGAAGGGAATGCCGCTGAAATCCTGGCGTTTTTTGACCCCTGTCAGACATGGCCTCGAGGAGCTGGGCCCAGGGTTAAGTCGGGACTGTCCCTCCACAGGAGGAAATTTCAAAAATTGCCAGAGCCAAAAGTAGTATGAGGAAGATTTTTCTAGTATGTTTGATCATTTGTTGGTCCTTTTGTTTTTGGGGTATTGTAGTGGCCTCTGGCCAGTGCCGCCGATCCGGGGCGCTCCGCAAGATGATGATCAGGATGATGTTGCAGGGGAGGGGGTCTGCTCTGCAGGGAGAGCCCGCTCGGCAGAGGGAGGGACTGCAGGGGAGAGGGGTGGTCCGAGTCTGCTCTGCAGGGGGGGGGGGGGCTGGGGAGGGGGGAGCGTCCGCTCTGCAGGGGGGGGCTGCACGGAGCGGGGTCCTCTGCAGGGGGGGGGTGGCTGGGCTGCAGGGTGGGGGGGGGGCGGTCCGCTCTGCAGGGGAGGTGTCCGCTCTGGGAGGAGGGGGGCTGCAGGAGGGCGGGTCTGCTCTGCAGAGGGGAGGGGAGCAGGGGAGGGAGGGGATCCGCTCTGCAGGGGGGGGGGGGCTGCAGGGAGGAGGTCCGCTCTGCAGGGGGGGGGGCTCTGCAGAGGGGGGGGGAGTGCGGCGGGGGGGGGGGGGGGGGGGGGGGGCGCTCTGCAGTGGGGCGGGGGGCTACAGGGGCGGGGTCCCCTCTGCAGAGGGGGGGGGGCTGGGGGGAGGGGAGCGTCCGCTCTGCAGGGGGGGGCTGCACGGAGCGGGGTCTGCTCTCTGCAGCGGGGGGGGGCTGGGCTGCAGGGAGGGGGGGGCGGTCCCGCTCTGCAGGGGAGGGGCGTCCGCTCTGGGAGGGGGGGGGCTGCAGGAGGGCGGGTCTGCTCTGCAGAAAGGGGGGGAGCAGGGGAGGAGAGGGGGAGGGGATCCGCTCTGCAGGGGGGGGGGGCTGCAGTGAGGAGGTCCGCTCTGCAGGGGGGGGGGGCTCTGCAGAGGGGGTGGTGGTGCAGGGGGAGGGGGGGTTCGCTCTGCAGTGGGGCGGGGGGGCTACAGGGGCGAGGTCCGCTCTGCAGGGGCAGGGTGTTTTTAGTATATTTGTTGTTTAATAGCGAAAACGGATAGGTTTCTAGTAGGGTCAACAGTTACACACTTCGTGGTCTTCGAGGTCCCAGAAGTCGATTACCGGGCCACATTCTGAATGCCCGGAGCCAACTGTAGGCCACTTCGTGGTCTTCGAGTTCCCAGAACTCCATTCCCGGGCCACATATTGAATGCCCGGAGCCAACTGTAGGCCACTTCATGTGTTTCGAGTTCCCAAGACTCCATTCCCGGGGTACATTTTGAATGCCCGGAGCCAACTGTAGGCCACTTCGTGTTCTCCGAGCTCCCAGAACTCCATTCCCGGGCCACATTTTGAATGCTGAGGCAAGCTGATGCTGAGGCTGAGGCAGGCTGATGCTGATGCAGGCTGAGACTGAGGCCGAGGCTGAAGGCAGACTGAGGCTGAGGCTGAAGCAGGCTGAGGCTGAGGCTGAGGCAGGCTGAGGCTGAGGCTGAGGCAGGCTGATGCTGAGGCAGGCTGAGGCTGAGGCTGAGGCTGATGGCTGAGGCTGAGGCAGGCTGAGGCTGAGGCAGGCTGAGGCTGAGCAGGCTGAGGCAGGCTGAAGGCTGAGGCTGAGGCTGAGCAGGCTGAGGCTGAGGCTGAGGCAGGAGGCTGAGGCTGAGGCTGAGGCAGGCTGATGCTGAGGCAGGCTGAGGCTGAGGCTGAGGCTGATGCAGGCTGAGGCTGAGGCAGGCTGAGGCTGAGGCCGAGGCTGAAGGCAGACTGAGGCTGAGGCTGAAGCAGGCTGAGGCTGAGGCTGAGGCAGGCTGAGGCTGAGGCTGAGGCAGGCTGATGCTGAGGCAGGCTGAGGCTGAGGCTGAGGCTGATGAGGCTGAGGCTGAGCTGAGGCTGAGGCTGAGGCTGAGGCCGAGGCTGAGGCTGAGGCTGAGGCTGAGGCTGAGGCTGAGGCTGAAGACTTGAGGCTGAGGCTGAAGCAGGCTGAGGCTGAGGCTGAGGCTGAGGCAGGCTGAGGCTGCTGAGGCTGAGGCTGAGGCTGAGGCTGAGGCTGAGGCTGAGGCTGAAGCAGGCTGAGGCTGAGGCTGAGGCAGGCTGAGGCTGAGGCTGAGGCTGAGGCAGGCTGATGCTGAGGCAGGCTGAGGCTGAGGCTGAGGCTGATGCAGGCTGAGGCTGAGGCAGGCTGAGGCTGAGGCCGAGGCTGAGGGCAGACTGAGGCTGAGGCTGAAGCAGGCTGAGGCTGAGGCTGAGGCTGAGGCAGGCTGAGGCTGAGGCTGAGGCAGGCTGATGCTGAGGCAGGCTGAGGCTGAGGCTGAGGCTGATGCAGGCTGAGGCTGAGGCAGGCTGAGGCTGAGGCCGAGGCTGAAGGCAGACTGAGGCTGAGGCTGAAGCAGGCTGAGCTGAGGCTGAGGCAGGCTGAGGCTGAGGCTGAGGCAGGCTGAGGCTGAGGCAGGCTGAGGCTGAGGCTGAGGCTGAGGCAGGCTGAGGCTGAGGCAGGCTGAGGCTGAGGCCGAGGCTGAGGCAGGCTGAGGCTGAGGCTGAGGCAGGCTGAGGCTGAGGCAGGCTGAGGCTGAGGCTGAGGCTGAGGCTGAGGCTGAGGCAGGCTGAGGCTGAGGCTGAGGCTGATGCAGGCTGAGGCTGAGGCAGGCTGAGGCTGAGGCCGAGGCTGCAGGCAGACTGAGGCCGAGGCTGAAGCAGACTGAGGCTGAGGCTGAGGCAGGCTGAGGCTGAGGCTGAGGCTGAGGCTGAGGCAGGCTGAGGCTGAGGCTGAGGCTGATGCAGGCTGAGGCTGAGGCAGGCTGAGGCCGAGGCCGACGGCAGACTGAGGCTGAGGCTGTGACTGCGACTGCCGTTGCCACTGCGACTGCCATCGCGAATGCGACTACGACTGCGAGAACAGCAGAATTCTGCAACAGGATTCTCATCTGAATCTTAAGGGGAATGCTTCCAGATATGCTCCTACACATCGCTTTTAGGTTGCTTTGCCGGGATATTTTACATTTGTTGTCCTAGATCGGCCTGTGATGTCCAACATATATTTCAAAAATGATGACCCCCTCCCCCCCGGATCATGTGTGTCATTGGTACGCCGGTGGAAATACATATATATATATATATACATATACATGTATATATATATATATATATATATATATGTTCATCTATATATGTATATATTTATATACATACATACATGTATATATATACATCTATGTAAATATACACAAATGTATATATACATACATACATATAACGAATGCTAGCCAAACAAATGCCCCTTCGGGAAACTATCCGACGGAGAGCGAACGTACGCTTGTAATGTAAACAGATACACGCACACGTACGCATTGGATAATGCATTCCGACGTCTTGCGTGCAGATGTCTAGGCCGCTTCGGTCGACGAATAAATCGTTTTCGCCTTCGTGGAACAGTGTACGTGCGCGCGTGCGCGGCGGCCTTGCCCTTCGCGCGCTGTTACGTTTCCCCACGCCGGTGCCATCAGGAACCGACGTGCGCGCGGCGGCCCTGTCTGCCTCCGGATTGTATGTTCCGTGCAGGAAGGGGCACGGCCGCCGCGCGCGTGGCGGCTATTGTGGGGTTGGGTTGGGTCGGGGCACACTGGCCGCCGCGCGCGCGGCGGCTCCTGGCGCCCCCGAGTGGCATTCCACGCAGGAGAAGCTGGAGCCGCCGCGCGCGCGGCGGCTGGGGGTCCTCAAGAGCGCGCGCGGCGGCTCTTGCTGCTCCCCAGGAGCATTCTGCATTGGAAGAAGGCAGGGCCGCCGCCGCGCGCGCGGCGGCTTGGGATTCTCAAGAGTTGTCGCGCGCGCGGCGGCTGTTGCTGGAGTTGTATTTCCCACGCAGGAGAAGGCAGGACCGCCGTGCGCGCGGCGGCTGAGGGCCCTCACGAGCGCCGTGCGCGTGGCTGCTCCTGGCGGTCCCGAGCTGTATTTCTCCCGCAGGAAAGAGGACAAGGCCGCCGCGCGCGCGGCGGCTCGGGGCCACCACGAGCCGAAGAGCTGTCACGCGGGCTGCGGCTCGTGCTGCTTCCGATATGTGGGGAGGGCCGCCGCGCGCGCGGCGGCTGGGGGGGTGGGGCAGGGGGTGGGCGGGGGGGGGGAGGGGGCGGGGGCTCAAGAGCCGCCGCGCGCGCGGCGGCTCTTCGTGCTTTAGATTTGTATTCTACAACGCAGAAGGGAACAGGGCCGCCGCGCGCGCGGCGGCTGGTGGGTTCTCCAGGTTTGTCGCGCGCGCGGCGGCTGCTGGTGTTCCCGAGTGGTTTGTTCTCGCACACGATGGCAGCGCCCCCGCGCGCGCGGAGCCGCCGTGCGGGCTGCGGCTCGGGCCCTCGTACAGCAGCGGCCGCGCGCGCGGCTGCCCTGCGTGCTCCAGGCAGGTATGTTCCCATTCAGACGAGGCCAGTGCCACCGCGCGCGCAGCCGAGCAGCGCGCGGCAGCCTACAATGCGCCGGCGCACGCGTTCGCGTGGCGGTTCTTGTTTTGTCCGCAATAGGAATGCCGCCGCGCTGGCCCGCGAACTGAAGCGGACCTTTTCTGGCGGTTGCCGATTGGGTTTCCAAGTTGGAATGCGGTTTTTGCGTGCTCGTCTATCGGTGCAGCCTACAATGTGCCGCTGCGCGCGCGTGGCTGTTTTTTTGTATTGTTCGCGATGGAAAAACGCCATGCGCGGGTCACTGCACTCTGGGTATCCTCATTTGGATGCCCAGAGTGCACTCACCTGAGTGCACCCTGGTGAGGCGATGGGGCTGAGAGTGCACTCGTGGTGTGTGCGCGAGCCGAGTGTCGGTGCTGAGTGTCGGCGCTGAGTGCGAGTGCCGAGTGTCGGCGCCGAGAGTCGGTGCCGAGCGTCGGTGCCAAGCGTCGGCGACGATCGTCGTTGACGCGCCGAGTGTCGG